ATCCACCTCTCCCTCAATCCCTTCTTTCCCCTAATAAAACCTGTTAATCTTGAGCGTTGCATTTGGGTCCACTCTGTCCATACCACAACATGACATCCTTACTGTAACCCAAACCATGATGTTTTGAGTAGGCCTAGTGTGTAGCTTATGTAGCCACAATATACTATGTTAGCTAAATAGCATTAGCTATGTGAGTTACATTAGCTAGTCAAAGGCTGTGTTCAAAACAGGCAAAACTGCTGTCCGAGTGATATTATTAATGTGAGCTTGAAATGAAAGTGTGCTGTTGAGGATCACACCCAGACTCTTGACCTGAGGGGAGGGTGAAACTGTGGAGTTGTCAATGGTAAGAGAAAAACTGTCAGATTTAGTCAAAGTGGATTTGGTGCCAATGAGGAGAACCTCGGTTTTGTCACTGTTAAGTTTGAGGAAGTTGCAAGAGAACCAGGATTTAATTTCCGTTAGGCAATCAGAGAGGGAGGTGGTTGGGAGAGATGTGGTAGGTTTGGTGAACAGGTAGAGCTGGGTGTCATCCGCATAGCAGTGGAAATGGATGTTAAATTTACGAAAGATATGGCCAAGAGGAAGCAGATAGATTATGAACAGAGGGGCCCCAAGACAGAGCCCTGGGGAACACCGGTAGTGACAGGGGATAGCTCTGATTTGAAATGTTTGAGTTGGATGAACTGAGTGCGGCCAGAGAGATATGATTTAAACCAGTCCAAGGGTGTATCAGTGAAACCAATGGAGACTCTGTCAAGCAGGATGTTATGAGAGATGGTGTCAAAGGCTGCACTCAGATCAAGGAGAATGAGAATAGTTAGTAGTCCAGAATCAGCTGCCATGAGAAGATCATTGGTGATTTTTATGAGCGCTGTTTCTGTGCTACGGCAGGCACGGAAACCAGATTGGAATTGTTCATAGAGGTTATTGTCAGACATGTGAGCATGGACCTGAGATGCAACTGTCTTTTCAGGGATTTTAGAAAGAAAAGGTAGGTTAGAGATGGGACGGAGGTTATTGAGAGTATAGGAGTTATTGCAGCTGATTTTAGAGATGAGGGAACAATACCAGAGGTGAGAGAGGAATGTATAATTGTAGTTATTTGGGAAGAGAGAGAGGGTAGGCAGATTTTTACTAAGACGGTAGGAAGAGGGTCAAGCTGACAAGTAGTTGAATGTAGTAGTTTCGAATTTCTCATAATGTCCAATATTTCAACAACAGAGTGAAGCGAGAAACATGAAAATGAATAAGAAAGAGGTGTCGGGAGAACTGAAAAAGATAGACTGTGAGAGGTATTAGTAGTCAGTTGCTGGTAAATCTTGTGTACTTAAAAAATGACATTAAGGAGTAACAGTAAGCAGATGAGTACAGATGAGGCGCGAGAGAGTCCGGTGGTCGCAGTATGTTGTTCACCATGGAAACAGTGTTCTGGTATTACTTTCACCTGAACTGATTATATCTGCATAATAGGTGGATTTGGCTGTAGAAAGAGCGTCCTTGTAGTGGAGAATGTGGTTTTTGTACATTTATTGGTGCACAACGAGTCCAGTTTTCTTGTAAACATGTTCCAGGTGACGACCTTTTACCTTAAGTTGGCGTAGTTCTGATGTAAACCATGGGGCAGAATGGGTAAACAAAACAGTCCGGGTTTTTAAAGGAGCCAGAGAATTGAAAATGTTTTGTAGGCCGTCGTTGTAATGAAAAACCAGATCATCAGTTTAAAAACAGTTTATACTGGGGAGGCAGTTAATTTCAGTAGAGAGAGTATTTAAATTAATGTCCTTAATATTTCTGAATGAAATTACACATGGCAGTTTATTTTGGACAGTGTTAGGTTGACATTAAAAGAAATTGACATATGATCAGTAATGGGGAGGTCGGCCGCAGTGCAACCATGAGGAGTGACACCAGAGCAGCAAAACAAGTCCAAAACATGATCTTTTTTAGAGTGAGTGGCAAAGTGAATATGTTGCTCCAATCGAACACTGTCCAGGCAAGATGTAAATTCCCTTGTGTATGTATTAGAGGTATTATCCATATGTATATTGAAAAACATGTTCCTCTGACACCCAGGCGACACGGACGTGAGTCCTGCAGCTGATTTGCAGATCTTGTCGGCTGGAAATGTTTTAATAACCTTCCAAACTTTCTCGATTTTATTTTGTGTTGCTGTATCTGTACGGGAGTTATTTTAAGAACTTAATGGTTTTATCCAGTTTGTTATCCACACAAGTCTTGCCGATGTCCACCTGAGATCGGTATGTCGGCATTAAATTTATTCCTCAGAAATAGCAGCCATCCTGCAGCGGTGTGTTTACAGCAAACAAAAGAGATCTGGGGACTTTCCCAGGTACTTTTGGTCAAAAAACTGCTTGAGATGCCTTCAAGCTTGATGCTGCCTATTATCCATAAACCAGCGTAGCTTTCGAAAACTGGTCAAGATGGCAGACAAGCAAGCAGAATTATATGTTTTTAAAAGTTTTTAGTAGTCTTCTCGCTTGGATTTTTGAAAAGCTAGCGAGAACTAAACACAGAACTATCATATTAGCCTTTGACTGTATCCAACCAAGTTTGTTCAGTATGATTTCTGAGGAGTCTGTTAGCCGTTTAGCTTTTCAATAGCTTGTTAGCTGATGCTAAGACTAGCGTCTCTTCTGACAGCCAGAAGAGACGCAAGATGTCGTGCTGACCTCACAAGTTGCCTGAAGTGTTGCCCTAGAAGGCGGTTTGAAACCAATGTAAACAGAGATGTCTTCATTTCAAAGTGATGCCTTCTGACGCAGTTGTCTATTACGGCAGTGAGACAGCGAGGTACCTGCCTTCTGTTTTGAACACAGCCAAGGTGGGAGTAGCTAGCTAGCTAGTTAGCTAGTGCTAAAGGCTCTGACAGTCCCTGAAGCACCTCACCCAGGGGTGTGTGCCTAAACCTAAGTCAGTGATTGCACGCATATTGACCAGTGTGGTGTCCGAACATTAATGCTGCGATGATGTGTTGAGAAGAAATCCGCTTGACACTGTTCTTGATAATAAAAGTTTATTACATCAAGGAGTTCAGCATCAATTACAAGCTCTGCAGCAGCTTTGAGAGAGACCCAGCCCGATGACCACTCTGTACATCAAACATCGCTTATATAGGATATGTATAGGTATCTGTTAGACCCATATAAGGGTCTGAGTCTCCACCTAACCACTAACCTCTGCTTTCCCCTTAAAAGGTCACTAATCCTCTATCCAGCTGCTACAGTGCTATGTTAAACTGTTATGCGTCAAATGTACATATATTATACACCACACATTAACCCTACAGCCAGCATTTAGGGTAATCCTCCTTTGTGTTGCTGTGGTGTATGGGGACTAAACACCATTAGATACCTTAAAAATACATTGGCATGGCACACAAAATGTCCTTAAAAGTGGCGTGCTATTTATACGCCATCCTATGATATCACGTTGTAACAGTAGCCTACTCTGTAGTAGTTTCTGGAAATGAGGGGGCCATGTGTTTACTGATGTTAAGCTTTGCTGAGTAATGATGATAGTGTCATATGCTATTGTACCTATGATGTTGATTAATTTATGATGCTGATAATTTATTTTCTAGCATACAATACAAATATGCGTCTATATGCTGGATTTCTGAGTACCTTCAATCTAAACTGCTGATATTAGTTAAAACCAGCTAGTTGCGATTGTCAGTCTCTCAGCTGATTTATTCAGCCAATGTTTACTTAGTTATGACTCTACCACCTGTAATGCGCTTGACTGGTGCTGGACGAATGATAGAGTGACTTTTACTTCACAGCTTTATAAGGTTGATGTAACCACGCATGCATTGACATAAATTATGCAACACGTAAGTATTTTCATTGTTTGTGTTGCAGTAGGTGGTATTTTCATTATTAACTAATTAACCAAGCAAATGTGTAAATTAACCTTAACTTTAATGCTATTGTTTATCACGCTTTTGTTCTTTTCTGACACATGGTCACTTTAAAGTCACAATAGTCAACTAGCCTATTGTGTGGTGTGACTCAGCAAGTTAATGAACAAAACATGACTCATGATGACACAATGTATTTTTGGTAAAACAAATTAACACATTTTTCAAAAATAAAATCATAGTAAACTATAATTTCTATCATTTGTAGTGACTGTAGTGAAAGCATTTACTTCGTCTGCTCTGTAACATGACTCAGCAAGTAATCTACCAATATTTTCGCTGATTTTCCAAGTGGTTGTTGTTGACTTGAGGGGACATTCAAGTGAAATTTCCCAGACAGGAACAACTTTTTCCTGATTGAATGCAGTGTTTTCTAAACTGCCAAATTAAAATCACCATCATATAACTCTAGGGAGGGAGAGAGACAACAAATATGTCTTTACTAGACAAGACCAGACATGTCCTAGTACTCATGCTGCAATAAGGAGAAATCAGGGTGATACTGTTAACCATCCTGTTTTTTTCTGACCAACAACCTAAAACCAAAAGATATTTAATCAACAACAATGTAATACAGAGATGAGCTGCAAATCAGCACATTTTAGAAGATGGGAACGTTGAATATTTGGCATTTTTTCTTTAATTTGTTGCATTTGTTCTTGTGAAAGAAAATTTCCTTCCAAAGAAGAAGTCAAATATGTGCTGAATCAATTCTTTATGTGGATGTCCAGTCACCAAGACACTCTCCCGACACACAAACATCTCTCCCCTTATGTCTTCTTAGTATGAACACAAAAGCAAATTGTAATCACATATTTGTCTGAGTTTCTATTGTAAAACGTGACACTTTGATCAATAATCAAATGTTAATCTTGTGGCTCTTTGAAATTGTTACTGCTTGGCTCAAGACTGGCAACAAAAAGGGAGGCCTCACACAGATTACAGAAACAAAAATGGTTTATTTAACTCAGACTAAATTAAACAAAGGAGCCAAGGCTGGGGTTGAAGGAGCAGGCCAGCAGAGAGAAACTGACTCCCAGAAAGGCTGCCTTTGGTGGCGCTGCATCAGCTCTTTATATAGCTGTAACTTAGTATTCAAGAGTCTGACTCACTTGATCTGTGAAAATCAGCAAGTTTGTGCGACTTTTGAGGTGTTAAGAAGACGCGTTTCCAGCAGGAAGCTGTGGCCTCTATATGATATAAACACTGACGATACAGCCCCTCAACCAGCCAGTGAGACAGTAAGCAGCCAAGCAGCATGGCAATAACAACTCTCTGTGCTGTCGTTGGTGAGTTCTTATATTATGCTTTTTCTTATCTGAGATAGCTCTAAAACATTAACTGCATCCTGGTTTCTGAGCGATTTTAATGTTAGTACCCTCCAGTTAAAACCTTTCTGTTGTACACGCTAGTCTGTGTGTGTTTATGCTCGTTCTGTGTGTGCACATTGAGAACAACATCAGGCCAGAGTCAAACTCCTTGTAAATTCACAGATATCTGGCCTATAAAAGTGATTCTGAATGTTCCCTGTGATTACTCTATGGTCAGATTAAAGATTAAAATATTACTCTATGGTCAGATTAAAGATTAAAAGTTTGATCAGTAATGATATGAACTGAATAAAGGACATTAATTCACAAGTATTAATGTCTGAACTAAGGTTACAATAGTTATTTTACAATGAATTACTATAAATACATTAATATAACAGTAAAATAGACTTCTAATACATTTAACTGGTTGTTTCTCACTACTTGCTGAATAACCACCAGAAACGACAACTTATACTACATTACTTCATTGTATTAACTACAGGTAGACTTTTGCATTAGTAATCAGACTTCACTCACCACATCATCACAGAAACCATCTATTTAATTTCACAGCCAGACATTCGTCGTTCAGAGTCTCTGTAGAGATGTTCTTCAAGCTTGATCTTTACAAATGTTAGTTTCTCTTGTTGTGGTTTCACAGTAGCTGCAGCTTCTTTTTTTTATATCTGGTTTTTGATTTGAAACTTTAATTGTTTGTTCTAGTCACTATCTACTGTAGCTCCCTGCAGCTGCAGATGCTATCAACGTTCACCTTTATAGCCCAGCGTTGTAGACAGGCCGACTCATTTTTCAGCTTTTCAAATGAAGGTTGCAGAGAAGTGGGAAACTTTGATCAGCTTCAATCAACTCACTTATTGTTCAAAATAACATCCGTAGTGAAACAAGGAAACAACAAAACGAGCTTGCTGAGCGTCCACACATCAGCCAAGTGCTCCTGTTTGTTCACGTCAACAAAGTCTTCTGTTTGCTTGAGGTGCATTTATGATTAAAGTCTCACTTTGGCACCATGTGTCTGTTTCTTGCAGCCGCTCTGAGAGTCCTTCCCAACAGATCCCAGTTCTTTCAGTACGAGTCTGTCTCTCTGAGCTGTGGGAAACAGGGAATCTCTTCTGAGTGGAGCGTTAAGAGGAACACATCCAAAGACACAAATGAAGAGTGTCTCAAATTCTGGGGAAGAAAAAATTATTTCCACTGCTTCACAGCTGACCTTTACCCTACAGACACTGGAGTGTACTGGTGTGAGTTTGCAGCAGGAGAGCGCAGTGAAGCCGTCAGCATCACAGTGACCAGTGGGTTTAAACATTTTCCTCCATACGACCTTCTGTGAGCGACACAAAATGGTTGCTGGTCACCATATCTGACAAAGGCGCTAGTTTCTGACAGCCTAATTCTAAAAAGCAGGTTGAGTTTGTCGTACCTGCCTCTAACAAGATTTGGGGTCAGTAGCATAGATTTACAGAGCATGATGTTATGAGGCCACAGAAGTCTCAACCTGCCTCATCTTGAGTTATGAAATTATTGTATGGATACAACACTGTGCCTTGAATACTTCTATTTGTATGTCCCACAGTGCGCTGTACGCCATCAACTGATCCAAGTCAAAAAACGCATTACACTGGCACAAAACAATGTTATAAATGTGTAGATTTCGTAAAGCTTTGTGAGCTCAAAACGTCCTTGTATTTCTGTCTGTCCCTGAGGTGGCACTGTGATCCTGGACAGTCCTGTCCTTCCTGTGATGGAGGGAGACGATGTGACTCTGAGCTGCAGAAACAAGAACACCTCCAACCTCATAGCTGATTTCTATAAAGATGGGCGTCTCATCAGGAGCAGCTCTACAGGAAACATGACCATCCACTCTGTCTCTAAATCTGATGAAGGACTCTACAAGTGCAACATCTCTGGAACTGGATCACCAGACAGCTGGCTGACTGTCAGAGGTGAGATCAGCCTTTTTATACAACTTCTTACTGTGAACACTCGGTCCTACATGAACACATTTGGCCAAAGTTAAATCACATGAAAGATTTATTTCCCCCCTCACTGACTTAAAGTGGGTGGATCTCGGTTGCAGATGTGACGTATTTGTGTGCCGTACCCGTCAGAGTTAAACAACTCCTGTAAGTTTTTACCCAAACCATGATGTTTTTCCAACCCTAATCAAGTAGTTTTGGTGGCTAAACCTAACCAAATTGTGACATTTCACAACATTAACCACTAGTTTTATTTTGAAAGTCTAAACGGACTATTCATATTTATTGTTGCTAACTTGACCGCAGAGCCGCTGACATCCAAAAACAATGCTAAAGAACCCAAGGCATTAAAAAGCGACCAAGCGTCCATATATGACAAGTTGAGAGTGAGAATGAGTTGGTCAAAAAATGTCTGCAAAGCTTAATTTTTTTCTGTGAGTTGTTTTAAGAAGTATTAATAGAAAACTTTCTTTATTTCGGACCTGCTAGCTCTCCGTTCTCTAAAAGATCATTACTGTCAAGATGGATTGTAAATTTTCACCAACTTAATGTGGAAATATCTTTGTGGACTTGCTCCTGTGAGCCTGTTTTGTTGAACTGAACAGAAATGTTAGTGTTTTAAATGCAGGTGATTGATTGAGCCATTTGGCTTTTGTGTGTGTTTATTTTTATTTTATTTTTTACCAGGACTGTCATTTTTACATGAACACCTTCACAAAGGCAGAACAAAGACAAAGACGTGTTGCAGACTGACAAATCGTTTTAACAACAACTGAATTTGGTTCACTACACACTCTCCGCTTCACAGGGATCTTGTTCTTGGAAAATGTGCTGGTTTGCTATATCACCACGAAACAGATGAGAGAATTGATTTAAAAGTAATATAAATGTTGATATAATTCCCTGTGAGTTTAGCCCAGCACAAAGCAGCCTGGTAGACAGGACTTGTTGTTTTGTTGTATTGAAGTCAACCTGTGTTATTTTTCTTGTGACGCAGGACATCCTGAGCCGCCTAAATTCTCTCTCGAACACATTCTACTTCCTGTGGTGGTGGTGAGCCTCTTATTGATCTCAGTGATGCTGCTCTGCCTCTGGAGAAGCCACAAAGGTCAGCCTGTTTTTGTGTCAGTAAAATGACATTTAGTTGACATTTCATTTCAGGGGCGTAGGAGCGACTTTGAACCTGGGGGGGGGGACGCTGAAATGCAAGGGGGGTTCGGGGATATACCCCCCCCAATAATTATTTTAAATAAAGCACTTAAATGCTCATTTCTAATGATTTTTGAAAACAGAATTTGCTTATTAGTGTGGCTGAAAGAGGGTCTTTGTAGTGACAGAAGATGGAGAATAGACTGGAGAGGGGAGATTATGAAAACTCGAAGAGGGAGAGGTTCAGAGAGAGGGAGTATAATATAACTACAACACAACCGACTACATACCATAAAAACCATGGAACAGCTGCTAATTAATGTAGCCACAGTACAAATGTATTTAGTTATTCTAATGTTACACTTGATGTAGCTGTCTGTGATATTTCCTGTGTCTCACTTGGCCCTGACTCTCCCTGCTACAAATGTTTGTGAACACAGAACTGTCTTCAAAGCAAACTCTGATGACATGTCCTTGGATTAACAAAGTCTTTTTACTACGTGAGTTTTGGAATTTACTATGTCGACTAGCTATCCATACAAATTACAAGCTCGTTCTCCTCAGTTTTTTCTACTTCTCCTCCTGTGACCTCTGACCTCTACCTATGCTCGTCTCTGTGAGAACATTTTGACTACTTTTCAATTGTTTATGGACACGTAGCCGAGACACATACACACCTCAAAGTCACAAGTTTTTAAGGTCAAGGATGGTCACAAACGGAGGTAAAAAAGTGGCCCAGGAGTTTGTCCCTGGTCAGTCCGCTCTCCAGACAAAGCATTTGTCGGGCCTCTGGGTCTTTATGCAAGTAGAGTACATAACAAAATGAGCCATTAAAATACATTTTCAAAACTAGAAACATCCCTCTAATAGTCCTAAAGTAAGGTAATCACTTCAGCTGAGCCCTTGAGTAGATAACTAAATAAGCCATATCATCATTATTACCATAAACTGCTGCTTTGACTCTGTTCTGTAACACGGAGCAGCTTGTTGTTGAAGCAGGGTAAACCTACTTACAGAGGAAGCTTTGCGTCATGCGTAAACGCCCGTATTTTCTCTTTCCAACACGGCCACCAGTGCCATGGTGTGCGGTCACTGGATTTCAGTTGTTTCAGTAGAACAATTAAGCCTTAAACTGAAAAGGTATTTCCCTGATTTTCTAAATGTTTGCGTCTGTCCAGCTCATTCATATCTGTGATAAACGCCCGTCTCTGTACCACAAAGGAGACCTGGCGCTCTTCTGCATAACCCAGCCTGGCTGACAGCTCATTCGGTTAACGAAGCCTATTGCAGATTACAGACTGGTGAAATTATGAAGGTATGAATGGAAAATGTAGCGAAGTTAAAAGTATATTACTGGCCCAAAGAAAATACTGGAGTAAAGAGTAAAAGTATGCTACAGTTTTAAAAAAGGAACGTGAAAAGGTGCCAATTAACATTTTAATTTTATTTATTTATTTAGCTAAATTACGTTACTTGTAACAAGTCACTACCCACCGTGCAGCAGGCACTGCTGTCCTCAGGTACAAAAAGAACAGCACAAAATAAACGTAATATTGAGGCACTTTGCTGCACCTGCTTCGAGCGAACTCTTTTTTTCTCCCTTAACTTTTCAGCACCACCTTTGCATTGTGTCGCATGTTTTCTAAAGGCCTACATGATTTTTTCCCGCATTTCAACCGTTTAATCATGTCTGATGCGGAGTGTGTGATTGATTGATTAACAAGTCACTCAAAACGCTATGAGCCAACTCCAAAATGGAAAAAGTGAGGGGGACAAAACATAAATTTTGAAATGTGTGTGTGTGGGGGGGTCATGTGCCCCTCATGTATAATTGCTCCCTCGCATATGTTTCATTGACCTTTTCACATAGAGAAAATAGCATCCTCTTTTTTATATTCTGTTCCCAGATGCAGATTGTATTCATCCAATCAGGTAAACATAGAGCTGTGAAACAGCAATAGTATTGGTAAAAATATAAATATAACAATGTTAATAGTGTTGAAGAAATATTGTGAGCCAGGTTCAGGTGTGAAGAAATTTTGGAGACTGATGAAGACTTAACATAGCGTGGTTTATTGAGCCCGGCCGAGGAGACCCACATGGAAAGAACCTATATGAGGATATATGCGCATATATGAAACCTATATGCAGTTTATATGCACATATACAGCATATATGCACATATATGATAATATATATGCTACATATATGCGTATATATGCAGCATATAGGCAAAATTGAGGTGCATATACAGGCCATATAGGTCTCCGGTATTGCTTCTTTATATCCACATATAAGCCCTATATGTGGATGCAAGATATGTCTCCTATATAGCTCATGACATTATGCAAGGACTTATGTATGTGCGAACACGTGAAATTGGTATCACATGTAATTGGCATGTTATGGAATTTAACAATTAAGTGAGAGGAGATGGAAAGAAGGAAATGTATAACAAAATGGTTTGTTGTTTTTTTATTTTGTCAATCAAGCCTTTTTTCCCCCCAATTTCAAGTCACTTCCAGATACACATCCACACATTCACCGTTACATCCAGCAAATGCAATGCAAAATGCAATGTTTTCTGTATTTTCTTAATGCAGTTTCTAGATGAATTTGGCTGAAAGGTCATTAGTCTAAATGTAGCAAAAAAAAAACTAAAAAAACCAAAAGTACATAGAACATACATTCAAGTAATCATCATCATCCCAACTCTATCAGAGCATTTCACTGTGGTTAATGAATTTGAAGAAAATGTCAACATTTCTGTTCAGTTTTTTGTCTTATTTTTGTTCTTGTACTATTTGATTGTTCTTAAGTTAATAAATAATGTAAATTTCTACATTTTGGGCTATTATTTATGTTGCCTAGTAGCTATGGATTTTTATAATTTTGCTAATATATAGGTAAACATAGGTGCATATATGTGCACTGATATAGGTACATGTATGCACGGATATAGGTACGGATATAGGTACACATGTAGGTACATGCATGCACAGATATAGGTACACATGTAGGTACATGTATGCACAGATATAGGTACACATGTAGGTACATGCATGCACAGATATAGGTACACATGTAGGTACATGCATGCACAGATATAGGTACACATGTAGGTACATGCATGCACAGATATAGGTACACATGTAGGTACATGCATGCACGGATATAGGTACGGATATAGGTACACATATATGCATATATGTACATATAATATAGGAAAACGTATGTCACATATATTAAAAACCTATATCAAAACCTATATTAAAACATATATGTTTATATAGGTTCTTTCCATGTGGGTACACAGTGCCGACATGCAACGTGTGAACATGTGAAATGCCAACACCAAATCTGAAGGATAAAATTTATTGGTCCCTTTATGTGTCTGTCTTCCCCCTAGTGCATGTAGGTTTTCCCTCTTATGGTGCTTTCAGACCAAAGGCAAATTTAATCCTTGCATGAGTACATTTGAAGCAAGTTCACACACAACGCGAGAAGGCGATAAAGAAGTGAGGAGGAGCTGCTGCAACATAAACAACATCTCCCGGCGCCATCGTTATTTACTGTCAACCAAGGCCAATAGGATTGCAGCTTTATACATGTTGTTGAAGTCCGAGACACGCCAGAAAAATAAACGCCGCCGTGTTTGGAATGTTGTGTTTATGTGAAAACCAGAAAGGGAGGGTTTCGCCAACGTCAGTTCTTCGTGATGTCCAAACCATCTCAACGCTGATAGGCTATCGCAACACAGTGTCATGCAACTCTCTTGCTCGAGTTGGAAATTTTCAACTCATGCGAAGGCCTTAAATTCGCATCGCCTTTGCGTCGCTTTGCGCCACCCGACAGGAAATCATTGACTTTGTATGTAAACTCACGAACGCTTGCTTCGCTTTTGGTCTGAAAGCACAGTTAGGTCATCTTTAGCTGGCCTTAACCTAGAACAACTAATCTATCTGATGTTAAAACTCCAATGCTTCATCATAGCCAGTGCAAGTGAGTTCTTGAAAACATTCTTGACTCCCAGAGAACACAGATATCTGCAAGCCTGATGATTGAGTTACTGTCTCTACCTTATCAGTCTGTCAGCTGTTGTCTCCCTAACAAGGACAGTTACATGTGAGAAATAACTAGAGCTGGGAGGTCAGCCAATGTCTCTGAGCTAGACCTGTCTTACCTTTCCCTGTTACATCAACTAAGAAAATTCTTTAACAAAAAGTAATAACGATAATATTAATAGGACTAATAATAATAATTGTAACAGTGGGTGTGGAGCAGGAACATGGCGGCAGCAGGATTTGGCTACATGCATTAATGGGATAAGAATGCATACAGATGGAGAGGGATGACAGCTGAGCAGATTCATTCTGCTGACGAAGGCCACGAGATGCAGTTAGTTAGCTCCAGAAAAGGCTAGTAGAGTGGACTATTTAAAGATTATTATCAACAGGTTGGTCTAGACACTAAGGTGGGAACTGGGAGTGTCTCCGCCTACATAACTATGACTGCAATGTTGAAGCTAAAACAAGCTTTAAGGTCTTTGAAGTCTCACTATTCATTTCAAATAGACCATAATGTTTGTAAAGAACATCCAAGGTTCTCACAAACCTTATTTATACTGGTAATAACGCCCTACAAAAAAATAGATCAAATCAGATGAATCTATTTTTCCAGTTTTTTTCCAGCCTAGTGTCACCATGTGGTGTCTACGAACAAGACGCAGATTTCTTAAGTCATTTGGTGTAATGTGCAACACAATTTTTGCTTTTCATGTGTCATTGCATGCCAATTACTCTGAACTGATTTGTATTGTGTGCAGAAACGGCGTGCCATTTTATGCCAGCTGTAACAGGGAGAAGACCTGGTGTAGATAATAATCAGAAAAATCCAAGTAAGGAGGTGGTTGGGGGGGCCAATGAAAAGGACTGTGAATCAGGAGCCCGGCGTTCAGTTCCCGTGTGAAACAAAAATCAAACACAACGACAAGATTGATTTATGTTTTAGTGCAGTTACATAAGTTGCAAAAGTTATATAAGTTAAATCACGTCGTTATTGTAACCCAAACCAAGATGTTTTGATTAGCGTGCAGTTAACATTAGCTACATTAGCTTAATAGCATTAGCTACACAGCGTTACCTACGTTAGCTAAATAGTGTAAGGTACGTTAGCTAGCTAGCTAACTATGTTCATGTTAAGCCCCCGACATATTTGCTTTTTAACAATGCGTAGGCGTAGACAGGCGTCTGCGACACAAACAGCATTGTTCACATACTGGCCTGCGTACTTTGCGTGTACCTGGAGGATTAAATATGAATCCATTAGGGGGCAGATCAGGGCCGGATCATCCCTTGTGGACACCGAATTATCTTCATTAACAACCTCTGAATTTGCACAACGTAAACAAACCAAACAACGCAAACCTTAAGCAGGTTGCATAACAATCACAGTAATTGCAGACTAACTCCGGGACAGTTACTGTAAGCATCCCGCCATAAATCTCCTTTTTTAAAGTCTGCTGCTGACCGACACCTGGACCGATGTGTGGAACAGTAGATTGCTGCTGAGTGACACGCTGCCCCAAAATTCATGTGCTGAATTGCATCTTGCGGATGCGTAGCGGGACCAGGATCCAAATTCTTGACTTCAGTCCTGCCAGATGTAAACTATGAGGAGGGCACAACATTTCAGCAGGAACACCTTTACAATAAATAACCAACCCATCCTCACCAGAAAAACAGCTGTATAGGTCGATTATAATATGGCTTATTACGACTCATATTTACAGTTTTTGTTAGGCCGGGACCTTTAGTGGCAGAAGAAGTCAGATGACATATTAGTTTTATTAGAAAGTCAAAGTTAACATAACATTTTTGTCATGTGATTTATATAATGTACTTGTTTTAACCCAAACCACGATCTTCACCTAAACCTTACCAAGAAGTTTTGTTACCTAAACCTACGACCTTTTTTCCACGTGTTAAACATCACCTGATTTACATAATGTACTCAAGGTCCTGTACGCATGCCGCTGGAATGGTACTCGCCAACACTCATAGGCTACATGTCATTTTGGGTCAAATGACAATCAGCCTTTTTTGTCGTTTAGGTGTGAGGACGTGTTAGAAATCGTGAGTTTGCCAAGTAGTTTTTGTTGCCTAAACCTAACCAAAATGTTAATGTTTCATAACGTTAACCTGGTGTTTTAAAGCCATACGATTGTGGTCACTTACGTAATGTAGTTCACGCTCGTAAGTGTCATTTTGGGAGGCATAGACAAAGTAGTCCTTTCAGTTGGAGGACTTGCTGCATCTTGCTGGTTGAGTGAGATGCTAAAGTTACAGATGTTGTCTTCAAGAATGATATTTTTGTCCAGTAACATCTGAATGTGGACATTATATTACATGTTGCAATATTTCTGTTGTCTTATTGGGATGACCCTGGATAATAACAAGCTTTTCATACAGAAATAAACGACAGTATTAACTCCAGTTCTGAGGTCTTTACATTGGCTTCCTATATGTCAAAGAATTGATTTCAAAATTCTTCTGTTAGTTTATAAAGCACTAAATTGTTTAGGGCCAAAATACATTTCTGATCTTCTGCTTTGTTATGAACCATCCAGACCTCTCAGGTCGTCTGGGGCAGGTCTGCTTTCTGTCCCCAGAGTCAAAACTAAACATGGAGATGCAGTGTTCAGTTATTATGCTCCATATATCTGGAACAAACTCCCTGATAACTGCAGATCTGCTGAAACTGTCAGTTCTTTTAAATTAATACTTAAGATTTAAACAGGATAAAAAACTCCTTGAGATTAAAAATCTCTTTGACAAGAGTGTCCTGGCAAGTGGCAGCAGCGCGGTATGTGGGGGGCTTAAGTAACTAAAGGGGATGAGGAATCAAAGGAGTAAAATAAGCAAAGGTGGGAGACCTGCCTGTATTTATTTTCTAATTAACTTTAAAACTTTTTTATATATCCCTGTTGCTTTTATGTTTTATGTAAAGCACTTTGAATTACCTTGTTGTTGAAATGTGCTATACAAATAAACTTGCCTTGCCTTTAAACATCAGGCTGTTTCTTCTGTGGTGAAATCTGTTTCCACCGTTTCTGTCTTTGCAGCTTTGGTTTAGTTTCCAAAACCTTCAAACCATAAGTGACACAAAACACTTTTTGCATATTTTCAGTATCAAGTTTCTGTTTGTTTTCAGGTTTTCTGTTTTATTAGAATGAAAAGTTGAAACCCAGCTGATGTTTAACAGAGATAAATGTTGTGTTGCAGGTAAAACTGACCCTGATGTCTCCTACACTGATGTGATTGTCACACAGGAAGAGCAGCCAAACAGAATCAGAGGTAAACCACTCAGACAGACCCCTTTCCCTAAATACCAGCAGTTCATATTAAAGATATGTTATGATCAGACAGAGCACGTGAAGGTTTTTGCAGTGAGAGGCGTCCCTCTCCAGTTGTTTTTCATGGGCAGAGTTTTGCGCTTGCGCCCTGTAGCAGCACTCCTCAGAGCACCTTGACGTGAAAACACTTGAACGTCAAAGCAGAAAGCGTCCCATTATTATGGTTTTACAAAGTGGTTCTTACCTGTAAGATTTTTAGCTGTTGCCTAAACCCAAATATATGTTAAAGTTGGTTAAAACAAATCTATCGGTTCGCTCGGCAGGAACAAAGGACTTTTGTGCTCATTTTTGTGACCTATTGGTCCGACGATCCGGACTCATCCTAAAATCGCCTAAGCCTTGAAAAGACTCCTGGACCAGCTGCTTGTGACGTTACTCCCTTGATCCTCTTTCTGAGGGTCTCATAAATGTATCTCAGTTTTCCTGCGTGCAGGGTCGATCTGAGAGCTCAATCACAGCCAAAGTAAGTTCATGTAAATGCACCGCACCTTTAGCTTTTTTTGTCGAAGGCTTCAACAACAAAGGCATAGTCTAGTCCGATCAGTGAGCCATATGAGATTATGAACTAAAAACTACACCGGGCTTTAGGTTTTGAGATGATAAAACAGTCTAAACTCTCTGTTTCAGCTACTGAATCCTTTTTTTCCCACTACGTAATGAATGTTACGTAACTCTGGCCACGTGTTTGTTGTTGTCTGCTTGGAGGGGAAATCCCAGCTCTTATTGGTGCAGCTCGATGACGTCAGCCATCACCAAAGTTAATGTAATCAAAACAGCTGACATGATCTCGTTGCTCCACCCATTCTACTCTCAGTGGAGTCTGACCGAGTTTCTATTTATACTTTCAATGACGTGGGCTATATTTAGAGAGTGATATCATAGTTACGATAAAAACACAGATACCGAGCATGAGAAAAAAAAAATCAGTGACACAGACTGGATAAAGATCATGGTCATAATAATAAAGAAGACACCTGAAAGACCCAGCAGCAGACGCTTTTCCCACCATCCTGACTCTAAGACCTTCATCTGGTTTTTCTTTGGTTTGATTCATAAAAAAAAAGGTGCAAGTCTTAATTTAAAATAATTAAAATTCGACAGTGGTGGAAAGTAACTCAATACATTTACTCAAATATTGTATTAGCTATCAATGAAGTAATTTTACAGATTTCCATTTTATTCCATTTTATACTAAGACTCCACTACATTTCAGAGGGAAATGTTGTCATCTAGCAGCTAATTACTTAGGCTTCTAATTACTATTATTATTATATCAAATGCTATATATCACTATATCTATATGGATCATTAAGGCATGGTACTGGGACTGAGGTGTGATGTAAATGCTTATTGATTGATTGAAGATTTTATATAAAAATATAATCAGCTTTAAAATATGATACATAGTTACAATTGAAACTATTTTGTATGTAAAGGTAAGGCTTAAAAGATAATTCATATGTTTGACTTAATTTACCAAACAAGTACATTTACAATGTTATACAGTTTATTTACATGTTTAAATATTTGAATCTACCTCTGTAGTTGTCCTCTTATATACTTCAGTCAAAGTCATTCTGGCTTCTGATTGGTTACTTCAGTCAGAGTAAGAATCATCTTTAATCGCCAGGTATGTGTACACATACTGTACATACGAGTAAGTTGACTCAGGTCACATACTCCAAGTGTACACACACAAAACAAGCATAAACAAAGAGGACAACAAGCTCAACAAACTAAAAAGAAAACAAAAAAACATGTGTAGACAGGAAGACAGTAGTGCAGTGAAATAGTGCAAAGGAAGCTGGAATAAATTAATATTTTGTGCAGTAATTATGCAGTATTATTATGTACATGAGGCAGGTGGATGTGATATAAAGTTTGGTCAATATGAAAGATACTCAATTACTAGTAAGTAGTAAATATACAGGTGGATGTTAGAGTCAGAGAAAACTGCGGTCTGTCTGCATCCTGATATTTTCTTCTCATTATGAATCATTTAACCGCCACATAAAGTCAGGCTGTAAGTTTCGATGTAAGCATCAATAGGACTGATATAATAAATTATCCATCTGAATTTAAAACACATTTTTGTTTTAATGCACGATTTACTTCTCTACTGCTTTTGTGTTTCATCTAGTTCAGATCATTTGGTTATTTACCAAATAAACACTGATGATATTAAGTCATTAACAGATAATATTTTTTATAATATTATAAAAAATGGCAAATAAAAGCAGTCTAATTAGGTCCACTTCAGACAGATACTTTAAAATTCAGCAAACCTGTCACTCGTCTTTACTGAGGCTGAATGTACCCCAAAAAATATTACCAAAATCTGATCTGCATACCAAAACTAAAGGAAACCTCCCATTCAGCCGGGATTTCCGTATGAACATGTCTGATTGTTCTTTGACAATAATGCACCCTCTACATTCATGCTACTGAAAGGCCTGGTGTGAACAGTGAAATAAAGGTTTCTATTATTTTGTCCACCTAATGACTGTAGCACTGTGCCTCACTTGTTGATAGTTTGTTTGTGTCCTTTCTCCACAGATAGAAAAGCTGCACTGACGTTCTACACTAAAGTGAAAGCAGGAAACCACTGACAGGAAACTGCAGCACCAGTACTGTAAAAATCATAACTGTATGGATTATACAGAAGAAATGTGCTTTTAGAGGAAACAGAAACTCTCAGTTTCATTGTGTAAATATCCAGAATTGGAGATTTAAATGTCTGTTTTTGGAGTCGCCCCCACTAACTCGTGATGAGTCACTGAGTTTCTTTACAGATATTTAAATAATGATGTTTGAATCCAGCAGATGACTGTAAGTCTAATATTCAGCTCCTGA